CCCCCCCCGAGTCATCGCAGGCTGAGGTTATCTAAATGCAGATGTTCCACTTGCCAACCACTAACACTAAACCGTGATTAGTACCGTGATGTGTTTTTCAGCACCCCAGCTGCAAGTCACTGGGGTGTGTTCCCAGTCCTCCTCGCCAGTCTGCTGTTCTGTTCCCACACTGCGTCACTGTTGTCACTGGGGAGGGACTGGAGGACAGAGCTCAGCATCAGAAAAGCGTGTAGTTGCAGCAGGGGAGGCTGGTCAGGTACTGGGCACTTGTGACAAGAGTGCCACCGGCTGCTTAACTCACGTCTCTTCCTGCAAAATGAGAGCACCGGGTCCTGTGTTTTCTTCAGCTCTATCGTTAAGTGGTGTCTCAGGTGTGTCTCAGCAGCTAGAACAAGTCCAGAGGAGGCCACCAGGATGATGCGAGGGCTGGAGCAGCTCTGCTGTGAGGACAGGCTGAGAGAGTTGGGGCTGTTCAGCCTGCAGAAGAGAAGGCTCCAGGGAGACCTTCTAGTGGCCTCCCAGTACCTGAAGGGGCTACAAGAAAGCTGGGGAGGGACTTTTCATAAGGGCAGTTAATGACAAAACAAGGAGAAATGGGTTTAAGCTGAAAGAGGGGAGGTTTAGATGAGATATTAGGAAGAAGTTCTTCACTGTGAGGGGGCTGAGACAGTGTCCCAGGTTGGCCAGAGAAGCTGTGGCTGCTCCTCCCTGGAAGTGTTCAAGGCCAGGCTGGATGAGGCTTTGAGCAACCTGGTCTAGTGGAAGGTGTCCCTGCTGCTGGCAGGGGGGTTGGGACTGGATGAGCTTTAAGGTCCCTTCCAACCCAAACCATTCTATGATTCTATGTGTATTTTTGGGTCTCACCTTGAAGCAGGATCGCAGACAGAGCTTACAAATCCCCTGAGCCCACACTCAAATGCACATACTGTGTTGCCATTCCCTCAAGAAAACCTTACACTCAAAAGGGGGCTGGAGCCACCCTTACCCCACCAAGAAGTTGAAGAATCACTCAGTGAGGCAGGTGGTCGTCACCATCTTGGCAACTGTGAAGGACATAGGAACAGACAAAATGGGGGAGGGGGGATAGTCCCAGCTTTAAATACATTTATTAGTCACACAGCAGCAGCACTAGGACAAATTCTGTGCAGCATCACTGTAGCAAAATCCATGTCAGGCTTCCCTGTCAGAGTGCTGCTTTGTAACGAACCGTGAGCTGCACATCCAGCCTCGGGCTATTTATTTCTCACAAGTAGGGCTGGTCTTTTGAAATTTCCCACTTCTTAAGTGTTGGTCCTGGTGTCACTGGTTTTTTCTCAGCTGTTGTCACTGCAGAGTCTGAACTGTGGTAGAGGATGGAAGAGAGAAGAAGCTTTAATAACACCATGACAACCAGACTGAGATATATTCAGGAGCACAGGTTTTATTACAGAAACACAGAGTTAATTAGATTGGAAAAGCCCTTTAAGATCGTTGAGTGCAACCATGAACCCAACACTGCCAAGTCCCCGACTAACCCATGTCCCTCAGCACTATGTCTACACGACTCTTCAATCCCTCCAGGGATGGGGACTCCACCACTGCCCTGGGCAACCCCTTCCAATGCCTCAGAACCCTTTCAGCAAAGAAATTCTTCCTCACATCCAAGCTCAACTGCCCTTGGTGCAACTTGTGGCCATTTCGTCTTGTCCTGTCCCTTGGGCCTTGGTTGAACAGACCCACCCCCACCTCTCTCCACCTTCCTTTCAGGGAGTTGGACAGAGTCAGAAGGTCTCCCCTCAGCCTCCTTTTCTCCAGGCTCAACAACCCCAGTTCCCTCAGCTGGGAACTCAGCACACTTGTGCTCCAGACCCTTCCCCAGCTCCGTTGGATGCACTCCAGCTAGAGGGGTTTGTTAAGTGAGCTTCCAGCCACCTCACTTATTGAAGAGCAGATACAGACATAAAGAATTAGTTCATCATTCTCCTACCAACCTGTAAAATTCAATACTGCTTACTAGAAGAGTTCTGTATTCCTGCCTTAAGTCAAACAAGGCTTAAACCTGCTCAGCAAAAATAGCAACAGCAGCCACACTGTGGAACTGCTGAGGTCAAACTCACCTGCCAGCCTGAGCCCCCGCAGTGATGGTTTTCTGTGCTGCCACCACCACGATAGGCGGGAGGGATTCTCGGCGTCCATCCCGGCTACAATAATAATTATTGGCGAACTTATGACTGGGACCTACCGGGAGCCGAGGTGGAGGTTGGGTTCTAAGACAGAGAACGGTAACAGAACCATCAGTCACGGCCAAAACTCAACGCTCACACCAAAACCCCACAAGCCCAGCTAGTCGGTACCTCTTGGAGATCTCCGTGTAGCGCAGCGCCAGCTTAGCCTGGAGGTCTCGCTGCAAGACAAGGCGACAGCGTCTCATGCAATGCCAGGCGCTGCGTTCCCCCGCGGGTCGCTGCCTTGCGCCG